CCACTCCGTAACTCTTTCGACGACGACACTGGAAACCTGCCTAGGTCAACTCGCAATATATGTCACAAAGTTTCGCAAGAGACTAGCATCGAAGCACCTAATCCACCTCAAGCGTTTGGTGGCTTTCCTGTCGGCTCTGGAAAACTTCTGTCTGGACTGGCAATCTGCAGATGCGACCAAGAACGAGGAGATGTTGTCGATCGCAGGCGTCGCCGAGTCGCTGGGCCAGAAGGTGGACGGCATCAACCTCCTGGAGATTGAACAGTATTTGAAGGAAAGCAAGATTGCTCGAAAGGTTCGCTGAATATACTTTGGAACTCAGCATGTCTTTGACTCTTGCGGTAGATCAGTGGCTATAACGACAAACTCGCCGAAGACCAAGTCAAGAACGGCGACACAAAGTTCACTAAATCCCGACGTACCACAAATCCGCCGCTACATGCAGTACAAGCCTTCCTGCTGGTCTTGATGAACAGCGATGAAGACGGCCGTGTGCACCTCTCGAAATCGGTCATAGACGGCAAAGTGGTTGTGACGTTGTGCTATCAGCTCCTTAACCCCTCCCCCTCTTTCCAAGAAGTTGTCGACGAGGCAAGGGCAGTCGTCTTGGCAGGCGGGACAATGGAACCGGTAATACTTGTTTGACTCTCATGTGTCATAGACTGATAAATCAATAGATCAGCGACTTTCGAACGCAGCTCTTTCCCCGACTACTGGAGAATCGGTTTGCGACCTTTTCATGCGGGCATGTTGTTGCCAAGGAGAACCTGACTGCCCTTGCTGTCTCCCGGGGCCCCAAAGGTGGGGATTTGTCGTTCAAGTACAGCTCGCGAGGGGACAAGGGAATGGTATGGCCTCTCATTGTCTATTCTGCTACTTGCACTGATGGAGACCAGGCCAGTGAGCTCGGGCAGGCATTGCTGAACTTTCTCAGTCTAGTTCCTGATGGGATGGTTGTGTTCATGCCTTCTTACGCGTTTCTGAACCAGCTCAAGGAGATCTAGGGATAAGGAGGACAAAGTCGTCATGCTCGAGATGAGGACCGAATTCTTTGGTGCGTCCCCCTCCATACATCTGGCGTATTGACCAACGTGCCTTTTGTAGGCAGGAGCTGGTCGGCCCCAGAACTGAGACGCAAGTCCTTCCTCGACCTACATACCCTGTGGTACGTCCTTGTTCGGGAACGGAACGTCCTCCACACCCAGCTAGAAGAGTGGAAGAAAGTGGGCGGAAAGCCGGAACATTTTGCTAACATCCATAAGCTGAACAACCGCGTGAGTGCTCGCTTTGCCGTCTTTCTCCTTCCACTCTCTTGAGCTGCGTCGATCATCTGCATTCCTTCTTCACGATGTCTTATTTTCCTGTTCTCGTGTCCGTCCTCACCCAGAGCATCCCTGACATCGTCCTCAGTGCCGCAAATCCCTAGCGCGGATAAAGCGATCCGAAACGAGCGCAGGCTAGCATTCAAACAAGCACGGCGAATAACCGCCAAAGTCGAAAAGAACAGGATAAACAACGAGCGTCGCTGCGCACGAAAAGCTGCCGCAGCAGCAGGCTAAGCCGGGGCACCCGTAGCGGAGACGGTATAGGTGGTAGTGCATGTAGTGCAGAATCCAATGTTCATCATTCGTTCCGAGCCTGGAGGGGTCAAAATCTGCCTATGCGCCAGGCTCTCCATACCCGCCAGCTAGTCCTCCAGTCATCCGCTCTTGCACCCGCTAACCGAGGGTCTAACAACGCCCTCTCCAATCTTTGTACATACACCTGCGCTGGTACCTGTTGCTCATCAGTGCCTTCGCCTAACAATAAGAGACTAGCACGCACAGCACTGAGGAACACGGCCAGTTTCTCCCGGGGCACCTTGCTCCCCTGTAACCTTGCGCACACTTCTCGAGCAAGAGAGAGTTCCTCACTCGCAGTAGCAGTAACGGACTTGACCATCTCCCGCCATGCCTCTTCACCCCCCTGCCACGCCCTGCCCAGGGGCCCCTCCCCCTCTCCAGCAGACCGCAATACCCTCGCGAGGCCCAGCGCCTTCCCTATATGAGCCAACCCGTGCCCTAGCAGGTCTTCGTCCCCCGTTGTTGGGGAAGGGGGTAAGATCCCCAGGGCGAGCAAGAGGATGGAGGAGTAGGTGCTGTGCGCTTGGGTCCGCAAGTCAGATAGGGAAGGGAGCGGTGGAAGAGGGTTGGAGTAAGCGCTGATGAGCCGCTGGAGGTGGTAGGCTTCTAGCCTGTGCAGCCTGTGTGCTTCGGCTAACGCAAGGCAGACGGGGTGCTGTGGTGGTTCTCCCTATTTCTGTCAGCCTAAGGGACTGAGCGTGCAGAAGGAAGGCAGGGAGAGGACGCACAGCGATAACAGCCTTCACGGCATCCCTCCACCAAGTATACCTCATCTCCCCCAAGATCTCCTTACTGACCTTCCTCCTAACCTGCGCGATCTCGGCCTTCTCTCGTCAGTGTCGGTCCCTATCTCCTTTGATTTAAGCGGACGACGTACATGGAAAGCGTTTAGCGCGAACCAGGCTGGGCGGGCGAGGGAGGGATAGAAGTAAGAGGTGAGGAAGGCAGGGTAGTCTGTTGATTTCGTGAGCTGTTGACAGTAGGCGTCGGATTGTGGTAATGTGAGGCCGTCTGAGGGTGGTGGTGAAGCGCGGATTGCGGTTGTTGACAGTCTGCGAGAATACCTCGAAGCATTATGTATGATACTAGGTCCTGCAGGAGTGAATTTCATGTTGACCAAATTTCTGTTCAGGGTCAGAAGGTAATGAATATGATCAGTGGTCATTGTTAGTGGCTGTGCCTGAATTCCGGTGATCGGCCTCTCTCTTCCGAGTGTCCGAAGATGATAGAAAGACATATCGGGCCGTGATTCGGTCGGGGCATATACCATTCCTGGTTATTTCTCCCAAATTGCACGCGTGTCTCGGTATGACATTGACCAACTAGCCAATAGCGGCAATGCTCCAAGTTTGTCCGAGTGTATTCCGCACTTGCTGGAATTAGACGCAATGGGGGAATGCTCTATAGCTCGGGCCGACGTCCGACGATCCACCCACCGGTCATGCTCTGACATCCAATTCAGGTATCGCGCCCTCGCGAAAACTGATATTAATATGCATCGCTGGCCGGCTCACCCTCCTCTTGACACTCTTGCCCTTTGAACAAACTTGAATCAAATATGCCTGACAAGATCCTTAACGTTTGTGTCTATGGTATTGGCAACTCGGCCAATACATTCCACATCCCTTACATCGTGCGTCCCCTCCCGCAAGTCACATCCTCCACGTGCTGACACTCACCCATCCCAGCTCTCCCTCCCAGAGCTCTACAAGCTCTACGCAATCTACGAGCGTGACGCCACGCCTCAACAGTCCAAGGGCAGGGAAAAGTTCGGTCATCTCGGAGTGAAGATCTTCACCACGCTCGAAGAGGTGCTCGCAGACCCAGCGATCGACCTGTGCGTCATTGCGACCAAGAGTCCGAGTCACTACGAGCTCGCCAAAGTGCGTTTCCCCCCCTGCGCGTGTCGTTCGCCCCTGATCTATGAACTGCATAGGCAACCCTCTCCGCAGGAAAAAGCGTCATCCTCGAGAAGCCTATCACCGTGACCTGGCAAGAAGTACACGACCTCGCCACGACCGCCAAAGCCAAGGGCGTCACCTTCGTTCCCTTCCACAACCGACGATTCGACGGGGACTTCCTCACCGTGCGCAAGCTGCTCGCCGAGGGCAAGCTCAACTTGCAGGACATTGTCGACTTTGAGAGCAGGTACGACGTACGTGCTGACTGGGGCGCTGGGAGCCCCGGAGGGAACGGAGGGAGCACGTATGGTCTTGGATGCCATTTGCTCGACCAGACTGTGGCGCTCTTCGGGAAACCGAAGACTGTTACGGCGATTCTCCAGAATGGGCGCAGGGTTGGCGACCCTGCGTTTGACGATGCGGTGCGTCTTATCCCCTATGTTCTTGTTCCGACGCTAATGCTCTGATAGTTCACAATCCACTTGCGGTACGACGCCTTTCCCGGGCTAGTCGTCACCTGCCGCAGCGCACTGCACTCTGTCGCTTCGCACCAAGTGCGTTACATAATCCGCGAGAAGAACAGGAGCTTCGTCAAGTACGGCCTGGATTCGCAGGAGCCGCAAGTGCATGATGAGGGCATGAAGCCGCTCGATAAGGGCTTTGGGGAGGACCCGGAGGAGCTGTTTGGAGAGTATGGCACGTGGGTGGACGGGAAGAGCACATTCGAAAAGTGCGTCATGATCCCCTGACTTGCTTCTTGCTCTTCCCTCTGGCTGAGTTAGTGGGCATACGCTGACCTTCATCGTGCAGGATCCCAACCGTCCCTGGATCATACCGTTCCTACTACCGCAACGTCGGGGAGACGATCCTCGGTAAAGCAAAGCAAGAGGTGACAGGCGAGCAAGGAGAGATCGGGATGCGTATCATCCAGCTTTCGCATAAGAGCCACAAGGAGGGCAGGACGGTGGCTTATGATGAGGAGGTGTAGGCTGCACGGGAAGACTGGAACTAGGAAACGAGAAATAGTTAGGAATCAGAAATGGTCATAAATTGCATTCACACGATAATGACGTCGTACCCTGTTGGGAAAGAGTACCTTTTATCCGCTGTTGGCAATGGAACCTTCAGTCCTTCCGCCGGCTGTAACATGATCCCTGCGGATCTGGCGAAGGTAACTGTTGATGATCACGCAACGAGCGCCCTCCACATCCTCCAGGAGTGACGATATACCACGGCCGCGCAGGCAGATCCAACTACCGGCAACCCGACAAGCACAACAGACAAATGCATCATTTCTTAACAGTTCACTGGTTTTGCTCTTCTTATACAGCATAGTTGCACATTGCTCTACATCCCTTCAACCCTTCGACCCTTACCCGTCAACCACTAGAAATCCGAAAGCCATTTACGCGGCAATGCCTAGTAGCTTGATAAGCCAGTTGCTGGGATGAACATAAAGTAGACGTACCGATAACACCGCAAGCCGCACGCCCGCCCGCGTTGCCCGTCTTGAAGCTTTCATCATTGCCTCCCTTTCCAAGGTCGTCCGTGCCGGCATGGACGACAACCGTGCGGCCAATGATGCTCAGGGGGCCGATAAGGCTCAGCTGCTTGTCGGTGATGTTGATCACGGCCTTGCCAGAGTCGTCGGATGTGATGTTCCCCAGGTCACCGACGTGGCGCTCAGAGTCGGTAGGCCCGCCGTGCTTCTTCGTGAAGGGGTTGAAGTGCGGGCCGGCGGAGACGCAGCCGTTGGTGTTGTCCCCGAGCTCACTGGGGAGAGGTTAGTCGGTTCTACGAGCATACACGGGTGAACCCGTTTGAGATGGGAAAGAACTTACTGGATGTGGAAGCCACGGTGAGCAGATGGGTCGAGGTTGGAGATCTCGCCACTGACGACGACCGGCTCACCCTCACCGCTCTGAGTGAATGTGATCACACCTGTGACGGGGGAATCACCGCGGAGGATAGCGACAGCCTGTGCATACACAGAGATAGATCTGGTCAGCACCAATGCTCAAGCGAAAATGCCGCATGGTGAGCTACGGTGGACGTACCTTGACCATGATTGCTATGTTATATGGGGAAAGCAGGAGGTTGAGGTGCAATGGTCGTCGAGGGGGGAAACCTGGAAATGTCCAGCAGATCCTTGGGTCTTATATATATGTCAGCGCTGGCTAAAATGGCGCAGACACTCCGCCATAGGTCTGCTGATTCCGCGGACTTGCGTCATCATCCGGTCCAATCATCCTCGCGCATATATTCCCTCCACTGTTGAAATGTTGAGGGAATAATAAGATGACTATTCAAACTATACTCGATGAGTTTGTGATAGCAGACTATTCCACTTTGGTTGTTCAATCCATTCGTCCTCCATCGATGTGATCGGCCCTTCGGTTCATCCGCAGAGATCTCTCGTCCGTTTATGGCCGACACGACGGCAAAGAACACAAGAACGACCGTTACGATGCAACAAACCTTCTTATCCAGAACCAAGTGTGCGAGTTGGTTCTGTGGCGTAACAAACGACGCCTTCCCATATAAAGACTTCATACCACCGCCCCAACGTTATCCATTCCTCTTCGTACGGTAAAACGCACCCAGATGCTTGACCGCCGCGCCGAAGTTGGCCGCAACCTTGAGCTCCTCATCTATCCATCTTGGCAGCTTCCTTCGGATCTGCGGCGATGCATATCGTTTGTCGAGCAGGATGAGTGCGGCCCAGTCGCTCTTATGCCGGATCGCGCGCCCGATGCTCTGATTGACCGCTTTCATACAGAGATTCTCGTACAGCTCTAGGCCCGCGTCGCGAACCGGGATGCGGCCAGGTGCAGGTGCAGAACGCGCTGCTTCCCGCACGTACTTCATGCGCTCTTTCAGCTCTGCAGAGCCGAGGTTGGCATACGGCAAGCCGACAACAACCACAGCCCGTGCAAGCGAGTCGGAGAAGTTGAGGCCCTCGGAGAGCTTGGCGCCAACTACGGCGAACAAGAGTGCGCCGCCCCCTTTCTTCCCGGTGACGTTCGCAGCTGGGGCTTCGGGAGTGGGTTGGATCGCCGCGGCGTACTCACGCAGGATCTGTTCGACACTGCCCGTTTCTTGCGGTTCGTAGAATAACTGGAGGATAATCAGCAAGAGGCCCAGGCATTCAAAGTGAACATACCTTCTTCTTAGTCGCCATCTTGACAAGCGTCCCGTCCTTGGACCAAATCTCCTTGAGCTGGTTCAGAAACGCGTAAGAAGGCATGAACACAACCATCCCATCAGGAACTAGACTGAGAAAGTTCAGCAATGCCTGCCCGAGCTCACTGGCCTGGTCTCCATCAGTGCAAGTAGCAGAATAGACAATGAGAGGCCATACCATTCCCTTGTCCCCTCGCGAGCTGTACTTGAACGACAAATCCCCACCTTTGGGGCCCCGGGAGACAGCAAGGGCAGTCAGGTTCTCCTTGGCAACAACATGCCCGCATGAAAAGGTCGCAAACCGATTCTCCAGTAGTCGGGGAAAGAGCTGCGTTCGAAAGTCGCTGATCTATTGATTTATCAGTCTATGACACATGAGAGTCAAACAAGTATTACCGGTTCCATTGTCCCGCCTGCCAAGACGACTGCCCTTGCCTCGTCGAC